CTGGGGTGGGAGATGGGACCCCAACAAAAATGGGACCCCTCTGGGCATGGAACCCCCCCTAGGAGATGGGACCCCCTCGGGGAATGGGACCCCCCCACAATGGGGATGGGGACTCCAATGGGGATGGGATCCCCCCCCTAAATAGGGAAAGGGAGCCCCCCTCAATGGGGATGGGACTCTCCCCAGTGGGAATGGGACCCCGCTGGATATGGGATCTCCATGGATATGGGACCCCAATGGGGATGGGAACACCCTGGGTATGGGACCCCCCCTCTGGATATGGGACCCCCCCTAGGAGATGGGAGGCCCCCATGGGATGGGACCCCCCTCTGGATATCGGGATGGGACCCCCCTGGGTATGGCATCTCCATGGATATGGGACCCCCCCTCTGGGGAATGGGGATCCTCTGGAGCATTGGGACCCCAGTGGGGATGGGGACCCCCGGGGTCCCCCCATCGCTAACCCATCCTCTGACAGTTCCAAGCCTTTTTCCTGGTGGCCGACGACATCATGGACTCGTCCCTGACCCGCCGGGGGCAGCTCTGCTGGTACAAGAAGGTGAGAGGGGTCCAGGGGGGCCCTGCTCGGGGCTGGGGGTGTCCCTTGGGGGGTCACCAGGAGCCTTTGGGACACCTCCCTGTGTCCCTGCTGCAGGAGGGGATCGGGCTGGATGCCATCAATGACGCTTTTCTGCTGGAGTCCTCGGTGTACAGGCTGCTCAGGAGGTACTGTGGGCAGCAGCCCTTCTACCTGCACCTGCTGGAGCTCTTCCTGCAGGTGAGCCTGGCTCCCCAAACCCTTCCTTGGGGCTTTCCTGGGGTCTGGGTCTGTTTTCTGATGTGTGCCTGAAATTCCTGTGTGTCCTGGACGTGTGTGGTGGTGTTTGAGGGTCCCGGGATGAGGGAAGAGAATCTTGACTCCATGTTTCGGAAGGCTGATTTATTATTTTTTATATCTATAAATTATATATTTATGTAATGTAAACAAAAATATATAATATAACTTATATTACATTATATTATATTATTAATATAATATAATATGTAATATATTATATATTTAATATTATATATATAATAGAATATAATATGGCAGATTTAGCACTAATTATAATATAATATATAAATATTATAAATATAATTATATATTTATATATAAATTATATATAAATATATACATATTAAGAGAAAATAAGATATTAAAACTATAGTAAAAGAATAGAAGAAAGGATTTCAGTAAGGAATAGAAAGGAATGATAAAATCTTGTGACTGCTCACAGCCTCGACACAGGTGGCTGTCATTAGTCATTAATTAAAAACAATTCACATGGTGGGTAAACAGTTCTCTGAATCACATTCCAAAGCAGCAAAACATGGGGAAGCTGAAGCTTCCCAGCTTTTCAGGGAAAAACAAAAAGATTTTTCGTAAAATATGTCTGCCTTTAGACCCAAAGAGGAGCTGAAACAGGGCTTGGGCTCTGCTGGAGGGCTCTGTGAATAAATCATGGAATCCCAGATTGGTTTGGGTTGGAAAGGACCTTAAAGATCATCCCATTCCACCTCAATGCCATGGAAGGATGTGTGGGAATAAATTATGGAATCCCAGACTGGTTTGGATTGGATGGGACCTTAAAGATCATCAAGTTCCACCTCCCTGCTATAGAGGAATGTGTGTGAATAAATCATGGAATCCCAGGATGGTTTGGGTTGGAATGGACCTCAAAAATCATCCCATTCCACTCTCCTTCCATGGAGGGCTGTGTGGGAATAAATCATGAAATCCCACAATGATTTGGGTTGGAATGGACCCTAAAGATCATCAAGTTCCACCTCCCTGCTATAGAGGGATGTGTGTAAATAAATCGTGGAATCCCACAATGGTTTGGGTTGGGAATGGACGTTAAAGATCATCTTGTTCCACCCCTCTGCTATGGAGGGCTGTGTGGGAATAAATCATGGGATCACACAATGGTTTGGGTTGGATGGGACCTCAAAAATCATCAAATTCCACTCCCCTGCCATGTAAGGCTGTGTGAACAAATCATGGACTCCCACAATGGTTTGGGTTGGATTGGACCTTAAAGATCATCTCTAAGATCATCCCATTCCATCCCAATGCCATGTAAGGCTGTGTGTGGATAAATCATGGAATCCCAGAGTGGTTTGGGTTGGAATGGACCTTAAAGATCATCAAGTTCCACCTCCCTGCTATAGAGGAATATGTGTAAATAAATCATGGAATCCCACAATGATTTGGGTTGGAATGGACCCTAAAGATCATCCCATACTCTCCTGCCATGTAAGGCTGTGTGTGGATAAATCATGAAATCCCACATTGGTTTGGGTTGGGTGGGACCTCAGAGATCATCCCATTCCACCCCCTGCCATGGAGGGCTGTGTGTGGATAAATCATGAAATCCCACATTGGTTTGGGTTGGAATGGACCTTAAAGATCATCAAATTCCAACCCTCCTGCCATGGCAGGGACACCTCCCACCATCCCAGGCTGCTCCAAGCCCTGCCCAACCTGGCTTTGGGCACTGCCAGGGATCCAGGGGCATCCACAGCTCCTCTGGGCACCCCGTGCCATGGCCTGCCCACCCTCCCAGCCAGAAACTCCTCCCAATCTCAATATCACTGATATATCACAACCATCACCCTTTATCTCATTCTCCCCATGCAAAACATCCCCCTCCCTGTTTTTACACCCCCTTTAAACACTGAAAAGCTGAAACAAGGCCACAAATCCTCTCTCTCCTCTGCAGACAGGCTACCAGACCGAGCTGGGGCAGACTCTGGACCTCATCACTGCTCCAGTTTCCCAGGTGGACCTGAGCAGGTTCAGCGAGCAGAGGTACAGGGGGCAGAGCCTGGTTCCTTCCTGTCCTGCTCAGCCTGGGGCTGGGTTTGGGGTGCCTGGGGCTGGTTTTTGGGGTGCCTGGGGCTGGGTTTGGGGTGCCTGGGGCTGGGTTTGGGGTGCCTGGGCCTGTTTTTTTGGGTGCCCTGCAGTCCCTGCCATGCAGAGACTCAGCCTGGGACTGGGTTTTGGCGTGCCTGGGGCTGGGTTTTGGGGTGCCTGGGGCTGGGTTTTGGGGTACCTGGGGCTGGGTTTGAGGTGCCTGGGGCTGGGTTTTGGGGTGCCTGGGGCTGGTTTTGGGGTGCCTGGGGCAGCTTTTCAGTCCCTGTCCTGCAGAGACTCAGCCTGGGGCTGGTTTTTGGGGTGCCCTTCAGTCCCTGCCATGCAGAGACTCAGCCTGGGGCTGGGTTTTGGGGTGCTTGGGGTTGGTTTTTGGGGTGCCCTTCAGTCCCTATCCTGCAGAGACTTAGCCTGGGGCTGGTTTTTGGGGTGCCTGGGCTTGGTTTTTGGGGTGCCCTTCAGTCCCTGCCCTGCAGAGGGTGGCCCTGGAGCTGTTTTTTGGAGTGCCCTGTATGGGATGGCCCTGGGGCTTGTTTTGGGGTGCCTGGGGCTGATTTTTGGGGTGACCTTCAGTCCCTGCCATGCAGAGACTCAGGCTAGGGCTGGTTTTGGGGTACTTGGGGCTTGTTTTAGGGGTGCCTGGGGCTGGTTTTTGGGCTGCCTGGGGTTGGTTTTTGGGGTGGCTAGAGCTGGGTTTTGGGGTGTCTGGGGTTGGTTTTTAGTCCCTGCCCTACAGAGACTCAGCCTGGTCCTGGTTTTGGGGTGCCTGGGGTTGGTTTTTAGTCCCTGCCCTGCACAGGGGGTTCTGGGGCTCAGCCTGGCTCCTCTGGCACAGGTACAAGGCCATTGTGAAGTACAAGACAGCGTTTTACTCCTTCTACCTGCCCGTGGCTGCAGCCATGTACATGGTGAGTGTGCTGGGGCCTCACCCTGCTGCCAGGAGGACAGGTCCTGGAAGGCTTTGTGCCCAGGTCCTGGAAGGCTTTACGTTATCCCAGGTCCTGGAAGGTTTTTTCTCCCTGTTATTCCGTCCCCCAGGCGGGCATTGACGGCAAGGAGGAGCACGAGGACGCCAAAGCCATCCTGCTGGAGATGGGAGAGTTCTTTGGGTCCCTGCTAGCTGCTGCCCGTGGCACTCAGGCCCTGGCACTGCCCCGCAGGACGATTTCCTGGACTGCTACGGGGACCCAGCCCTGACGGGGAAGGTTGGCACCGACATCCAGGACAACAAGTGCAGCTGGCTGGTGGTGCAGTGTCTGCAGAGGGCAACGCCGCAGCAGAGGCAGATCCTGGAGGTAAGGCTGGCAGCACACACCTGGCAGAGGGGCTGCAGTGCCGGGATGGGCACCTGGAGTGCCGGGATGGGCACCTGGAGTGCCGGGATGGGCACCTGGAGTGCCAGGGGCTGTCACCTGGCTGGGAGGAGGAGGGTGAGAAGGAAGAAGAGAGTGTTGGGGTGTTGTTTGTGAGGGTCCTAGGATGAGGGAAGAGATGAATCTGACTCCATAATTCTTAGAAGGCTGATAATATACGATATATAATATAATATAATATATTATATATTATATATTATATATTATATAATATTATATAATATATACTATAATATATATTATTTATTATATAATATATTATTTATTTTATATTATATTATATATATTATGTTGTATTATTATAGTATAGTATAAGAAATTATATACTAAAACTCTACAAAACAATAAAGGAATACATCAGAAGGCTAAAAAAAGAATAATAATAAAATTAAAAAACAACAACAACAACAGAAAAAAAACACCAAAAAAAGCAAACCAAAACAAAAAAAACCCCCAAAACTGTGACAGACCAGAGAGTCTGACACAGCCGGGCTGCGATTGGTCATGAATAAAAACTAATCACATGGAACAAAAAACACAAAAAAAAACCAAAAAAGCCCCCCAAAGCTGTGACAGACCAGTGAGTCCAACACAGCTGGGGCTGGGATTGGTCATGAATAAAAACAACTCACATGGAACCAATCAAAAATTCACCAGCCACATCCCAAAGCAGCAAAACACAA